AACACCCCACATTTATATTTATGTCACATCTGTCAAAGAACACTAAATTTAAAGCCTGACAGGAATTATCTGCTTGTTGCTTATTTTGGGCTTATATTTAGTTTAAAGCTTTTTTTGGCTGATATCGATGAGGATGCCAATATTTAACATTTAAAACAGCACAGGCAGAGATTCAAGGTCACAGAGCAGAAAAGAAGGAAACACTAAATGTTGCATCTGAAATAAACAATGCTAGGCATTAATTACATGTTAAAAAAACTATTTCTTCCTGATATTTGAAGTAATGGATAATCATTTATGTATTTAAAAAAATACATCTTGAAAAATCAGATAAACATCCTAAAATTGTCTTTATGTTATCAGATAACCTGACTTTAGCGACCCTAAAGGGAAGACGGCCCAGTTGATCCAAGAATAAATAATTTACCAGGCTTCGGTACCGTGACTGTAAACAGTAGTAGTAGTTATCGCGGTTGATGAATGCCTGTTGTGGTCTTTTGTTTTCACTGTTTGTCAGCCGGGACAGCAGAGTGTCAGTCTTCATTTAAAAAGGCTGCTGCATCCCATTCAGCTCAGTCACACCATTAAACCTCAGCACGAACTGTAAATCCTCCTTTTCACTGTGACACAGACAGTCGGGGCTCATAAACAGCTGACTGAGGGGCTGTGTGTGGGCTTCAAAACTTTAACTGGTCCAAACAAGAACTTTCTTAGTTGAAAGTCACATTTTGTTTATGTAATGTTCGGCTGGTTTAAGCAGTGGAACTTTGAAACCGTATTTGTGTCACCCTAAGATGACGGTGGTTGTTCAGGTTTTAATAAATAAAAAACTGATGAGACAGGTTGAGAAAGACTCATTTAAGTTTTTTGTTGCAATCTGTGATTAAGCTTGGAGAGAAATGTTAGGTGATTTTCAGGATGATTAAGTTTCAATTTGATGAATGGAAAAGTAAGTACAGGACAACTTCTGCTAAAAAATGAATCTAGTTTCTCCAAAAACTTCAGCAACATTCTTTGCAGTGTGCTGCAGAAGTATTAACTGCAGCTCTACAGGCGTTCTGCCAGATCTGACAAAGATTTAACAGAGTGTATTTTATTTACACCAGCACATTCTCTGGCATCAGAGCCAGGCCCAGTATAAACCCTGCTATCAGAGCGCATGACAGTAATAAAACAACTTAATCTGCTAGAAACACAAACTCAACAAATTTGTCTGTTTAGAACAGATGCAGGAGAACTCCACTGCACATGGACTAAAAAGGAGATTCTTCTTTTCAGACATTCTTTTGAAATTTTGTGCATCAGGTACTTTCAGTTAGCAGCCTCTGATGAACAACTGTTATATTCAAATTCTGGTATTTTCCTTAAGATCACTGGGACGCTCAGCAACATTTCAAACGGCTTCTCTGCACACAGACAAATCTCCCGATACTTTCTTTTAATGGTTCCTTTAACTCGCTGCACATTGAGGTCGCCAGTGTGTGAAGATGCTTGATGCAGCTGAATTTGTAACAGATTGCAGATGTGTGTTTTGAACAGGACTTAGAATAACTTCTGTCTACGTCCCAGCACGTGGTGAACAGATCCGAGAGTCCCACCCAGAAAGCTTTGGCAGTTTGCCGGATCTTGACTCGTGAGCATCACCAGTACAGTGAACGCCAGCGAAAGAGTAGTAAATTATGAATGAAAATGAAGTAGTGAACTGGAAAAAAAAACTGTAGGTCAACATTGTTCAAGACAAGTCATCCAAGGTTGTTTATCTGTGAACAGTTATCAGCCGTGGTAAGTCATTAGTAACGGCATCATCTGAGTGTCTCTGTTGGCAGAGCGGGTCAGACACGGAACTAAAAAGCCTTTGATTGGAGATTCAAACTCAGACAAAGTAACTCCAAACAACCACTGCAGTGTTTTTCACTGTGCAGCTGTGACCACTGTTGCAGAAAACACATGATCTAACCATGAAATGCTCAACCCCTCATGGTGACTGCCGCAGTTTGCGTCAGAGATTGCAATCTGTCAAATTTTAATTCACAGTTGTTAGATTTAGCATGACTTCTGTCTCCTATATCTTACTCTACCCATATGCAGGATCAATGCCTTTAAATCAACTTCTAAATTACAGAAACAAGACTCTTGCCTCCTCAGACAGTGTTCACCAAATCTAATTCAAGACTTCAGGCCTTTAGAGTACCAAGACAAAACTTAATTCACTTTCATAGGCATATCAGTTAAAAAGGACAGAGCAACTGTAACTACAACTAGATTCAAATCACATTTTGATCAGTACTTCCACACCCTGCTTCTAATATAACCAATCATTTACCATGACTTGGATCAAGATAAAACAACTCAAAAAATAAGCAGTGACACAAAACAATAAATAACCTCTTGGATTCATAATTCAAAGTGTAATATAATGTCAACCGACAGCCCACAACAACAAAAAAAGAAAACAGAGGTATGACTGACATTTGTTCAAATACAGAAACGATCCAATCCTTTTGAAACAAACTGAATTAAATGCATTTAGAGAATTTTTTGACGGCTGCAGACACCAAGCTCATAACACTCTATCAGAGATTTTCCCTGACAATGGTAGGTGACTGTTTCTACCCCTGACAGCTAACTTATCATACTACAAAAGGTGCAAATCTGCCAGAATGTCTACAATTATAGCTTTAAAAATGTGTTCATTAAAGTTAGGAAGTATGGCAACATTATAGTTTTTCCTTGCATCCCCCAAAGCTTTATGGGAACTGTGGTTCCAAAAGGTAGAACAAAACTATCCCAAAGAGCAGACATAACTGTAAGAGGATGGACAAGATCAGTACAAATATGATACTTCTACGACTCAAAATGTCCAACCAACCTGAGAACTGTCCTGCACCATGTATGCTATACAATACAACTGAAATGTGAATTTAAGGAATTTTCTGATTAGTCCAACTTATTCTGAGAGTAAAATGCCACACAGTTCAAGGTGTGTCAGAAAAGTTCCAGGACTGGTGTCGCAAAAGATTTATTTCAAACCCAAACTACAAACTACCAGTTTTGCTCTTCAGACGACCAACCAGCACGTCTACAAAGAGATCCTGTGGCGTTTGCTTCGTTCAGTGCGGCAGAAGAGGTGAGAGTTGTGGCAGGACAAGTCGTGGCTGCTTCACCATGACAACACGCCTGCTCACAACGTCCTGAGCATCCCACAGTTCCTGGCTGAGAAGGACATCACCGTGCTGGAGCAACCTCCCTACTCACCCCACCAGGCTCCGTGGGATTTTTTCCTCTTCCCCAAGCTGAAGGGGGTCATCAAGGGGATCCGTTTGAATGACATCAAGATGGCTGTGAAGACGGAGCTGTGGAGGATCCCAGAAGAATCCTTCCAGGAGTGCATGGCGGCGTGGCAGAGAAGGCTGGGGAAGTGTGTTAGGTTTCGGGGGTATTACTTTGACGGGTAAACTTGTAGTTTGTAGTTTGGATTTGAAATCTATCTTTTATGACACCGGTCCTGAAACTTTTCTGACACACCTCGTACCTGCCAAAGACGTGTCAATAACCTGTTGACAAAACGGGTGCAAACCAGGCAAAAGGGTTCAAAGGATTAAAGTGCTTGAGCCACATCATAATGCTCCTTTACAAGTGCAAAGCTATGTAGGTTGTAAGCTGAAGTCATGTGATTACTAACCAGAGCGCAGAGAAGATCGACGGCCTCCAGCACCAGCTCCTGGTGTCCGACCCGTGCCACGCCCAGCGTCAGCAGCTCCTGGTGGGACATCCTGAGCAGCTTCTCCCCGTCCACCTGCTGCTGCTGGAAGGACGGGATGTACTGATGCAGGCTGTCATCCAGACCTGACGGGCAGACAAAGAGGCAAGATACAGAGACCATGAAGAAAATCTGCACCTACTTTTAGATGTTTTTCTAAATTTTGTTGACAGCATGTATATATTCATAAGCAACAAGAGTGTTTTTACAGGATAACTTAATGACTAGCTCTCTCTTACAGGAAGAAGATGACACGTAGCACATAGACGCGAGAGTAAACAACACTAAGACAGAGTTTCCTTTCAGCAACTGAGTTTCAGTGAAAGTCATCTCTGTTATGATCCATTCAAGTTTGACAGCAAACACAGCTGCTGAGTCAACACTGACTTATTGACTCTTCCTACTGATCCATCACTGTGACGGCCAGCAGCTCACACCATGCTGCCACCGTACCACACCTCAACCTTTGGGGCTCAGCAGACAGACAATCCTACTGTCTTGTACACAGAAGAGTCCATATTTGACCCCTAATCTCTTATATTCATGAACACTATTTCTGATAAAAGTCCACTTTTTTGCCACATATTCTCTTTAAGTCTGAACGTGTAGCTCACAGTCAGGCAACAGTCATGTAAATATATACAGGCAGATGATGGTGTTTTTAAAAAATGCTGAAACTTTAAATATGAGTTCATTTAACACTTGCTGATATTTCTACATCAACCTTCAACTCCAGTCAATTAACATCAAAAGCACCAGTGGTCATCTTTCTGCCATTTAATAAACACATCTTGCAAGACTAGCAGATAAGATCTGGACAGTCCTGGACCTGCAGGATCCCCCCTTCGGTCCTCATGACCTCACGCAACCTTGAGCGAGACTCCGCCATCTCCAGTGGCGCCACTCCACGCCCGACCCTGAACTACGACCTCTGACCTCTCTGTGAACAACAGCAGCAGTTGGGGGGGTTGAGATAAAAGAGTTCTCACTGCTGGATCAATGGAAGCATCAAGCATCGTGCATCGTTTACTCGTCCTGACACACAAAATGTTCACCACAGGCAGTTCTGGTTTTGTTTGATTCACACAGGGCTGGAAAGAATGTGTGAAACTGATAAGTAACTGCAAAATATTAAGCATTTTTATCAAAGAATTATCTCAGTTATTGTGATCAGTTCCTTTTAATTTGCCTATGTGGATTCATGTGCAAAATCTGCTCTATTCACAGTAAAGTCTGGCTTAACAGATGTTGATTTAATGATGTGAAGATGCAGTGTGTCACAGACAAATTAGAAAGTCAGGTCTTTAAATAGGTTTTAAAATCGCTGAATGAGTTTTCTGTTCTAGATCATAAATGTTAAGAATTCACTGACACGAGACTCAAAGACTAACATCTCAGCTATAATAACATGTAATTAATTAGTATTTGTACAAGCTGTATCATGCAGAGCAAGACAGCTGAGACTTTGGAGTCCGACTCCCACTACGCTATCCCAAACTAATAATACATGTTAGTCAGAGAGAGCTTTAGCGCACAAGCGTCCACCAAATGGCAGATGTTGTGAAGCACTTGGCGACAAGTTGGATCAACAAGTGGCCAACAAAATGCCTGAGCTGGTGTGAACAGTGGAGAAGAAAACAACTGCCCCTGCATGTGGTCATTAAAGGGTCCCGCAAGAAACTCTGACTCCTGTTTGTCTTCGGTCGGACATGCAGGACGACAGATGGCCGACACTCACTGTGACAGCAGGGAGGAACATTCCTCCTTAACTAACTGCTGATGTGAGACCTCAGTGTTCACACCAAGAATAACGCACTGTGGAAGGGAAGCATGTTTTTTTGGTTACTTAAGTTCAAAAGCTAAAATTAAATCCATCCAGAGTAGTTAATTAACTTTTGTATTTGAATTTGGACAGTTTGATCTGATATATCTCATGCATGTATCATGATTTGATCCACTAGCTGTTAGAGCAGAAATAATTACCTGATTAACTTAAAAGGCAAAAAAATGTGATATTTTTCAGGAAAACATGCCAAAATATCTCCAATTCTGGCTTCTCTGGCACCATTTCTGTCCAGTCTGAACTTTGGATTATTATTAATAGTATAAAACAAGACATTAGATACAGCTGGGATGAAGTTGCTGCACTTCAGGAATGTTAAGGTTCAGAGAGACTAGACTGGACCAGGTATTACCGGATGTAGACCCAGTACCGGCCTCCATGCAAATCCTGAAATCCGTCAGCTCTCTGAGCAAATCAGAAATTGTTATCTGCTCCTGAATGTTCCTGGCAAGACTCTCTGTTGCAAACTCTCACGATATTCTCCAGCTTGTTGAGAAATAAGTCCCTGCCACTCAGAGCTTAGATCCAGCCTCTGAAAGTCCAGGATAAAAAGTTTGATTGTGAAAATACCACTTCAAACAAAATTCCTTTTTCTGTTTGTTGACGCTGGACAGCAGTCGACGAGAGTTTGTGGTCACCAGGAATGTGTCGGCGACAGCCTGGATCACATTACTGTCACCCGAGGAGGCCGGTAATCTCTCCGCTGCACGGCAGGGTCGGCTAAATGTCACGCGACTGCCAAATCACCTGCTAATGAAAGCATGACAACACCAGGCCAAGCCTCCCTGAAAAGCTGCTGAGAACCATCTTCTTAACAAGCAAGCACGAGCTTCTGTTGAGCCTTTACATGGGATTTTACCTTTAACACAGGCAGAACTATCCAGGTCAGGGAGGGCAATATGAGGTTTTTTTTAATTCAAACTTATCAGCTTCACATACTGGCTCATCTTGTTCAGACATTCTTCAAACACATGAGAGTCTCACTCTCTTCGTGTGGGTCTGTTTTTATTTGGTTTAAAATATCAAGGCATAATAGACACTTCTGAATAAGGCTAAATAAAAACAACAGTCAAAACCTTTTGGGAGTCGAGCACAGTGCCAACATTCGGCACTGGATCCAATGTTCTTGTGAGAAATAAAATGTCATTAATACATGTGGCTGCTGAGACATTTTTCTCATTCCACATCTCGAGCCTTGCATTGTTGGGTTTGGCACTCCACCCAAACTCTCGGAAACTTCTGGCAGAAGATGAAGATGGAGCAGGATCACTGCTCTGAAATACTGCTGAGCGGTTTGTGTTTTTGGCTTCAGAGATGCTTCTCAAGCAGCATAAATAATGTAACACAGCGGGCTGCAGCTGTTTTTAAAAATAGTCATCCTTGTAGTCATGCACTTTTACCACGACTTGAAGAGAAAAATATTTTAATTAGACTTTACACTTGTACCATTATCTGCTGCAGATTATTTGACCTGGTTTCTGTCATTTTGTCATCTTGACTTAATTCTCAATTATTTAAATTTAAAGAGTCGCTAACCTCAGAGTAAGGTGAGATCTGATTTTTCAGATATTTTTGCTAGTTTAAGACACGTTTTTCTTTAATTTAGTAGTTTACTTTCTCATAAAAAAAATTGACACAATCCTACAAAAACAGTTGAAACAAGCAGATCTGCTTTGTACATTAACATATCCCATCACTGTCGATTTTTATTTACTTTTTAGATGTAGCTAAAGAACACAGACTTGTCAAGTAATGGACGTATTTCATAGTGTACTCTACGGTAAGATCCCGCTCAGACTATGATGTTAAAATATTCAGAGCGTGATCATGTTGTGAGGATTGACTTTCCAGACAGGGGAGAGGAAGGTGGATAAATGTCCCGATGCTGGCGGCAGATCAGCCACTTACTTAATTAAGTTACACATCCCAACCGTACATTCTGATTCCAAAGTAAGTTCTCTGAAATCACAGTCTCAGGACTTTCTCACTTCCCTACTCTGCCAGTAGTGCTCAGCTCCAAGAAAACTGGTTTCTACTGAGGACATACGTCGATCAGTCGCAACATTAGAAGCACCTGCATATTCCTTAAGTCGCCCTCGTGCCCCCAAAACAGCTCCGTCCTGTCAGAACATGGACGCAGGACGTATGTGGGTATTTACAGTATGTATAGATTACATTAGGATAACCGCCTGTTCTTACAAACTTTCCAGACCTTTGAATCCTTCTAAAATTATATCGAATGTTTATCTTTGACCAGGCAGCAGCAGCAGCTGATGCATTCCTCACTTTTGTTTTTGGTTTGTGTTTTTAATGGTAATTGTTAATCTAATCAGCTCTGAGTTGACCCACATCAGAGCGCAGTCTCTCTGTCCTGACCTGGATATGAGCCCTTTGGTCTCAGTAAAACGCAGTGAAAACATTCTGTTTGTTGACAGAATAAACTTAAACCAGCATGAAAGCATGTTGGAGACTGATCAAAGTGCACAGACACTCGTAGCCCTGACGACTTTCCCGCTGTTAAACAAATTCTCAGTTTTGTGCACGTGTATTATTCGATACATTCTTTTCTTGACAATATCTGGAGCAACTCTTGTAGTATTTAGAAATGACTGTTCACACAACGTTTGTAGGAAACGTGGTCATTTGTAGGAGCAGGACTTTAGAAGAGCCTGTGGGGATGTTATTGCATTTTTGCAGTGAACTTCTAGAGGCTACGGTTTTCCAGAGTTGACTTCAGACACCGCTGTAACAAAAGTTAATTTCTGTGTCCATGGTCTTGTCTCTGACCAGTCTTGTATTTGCTGAGGACTCTGGGCCTCTGTCCTCCTGTTCATCAGCAGCCGGTGGGAAACTCTCTGTGTACCGACAGGCAGAAGCAGCAGCAGCTCGGGGTGGGAAAGTTTCACTTATTACTGCAATGACAAAACCACAAGTTCACCTCAAAGCCATGAGCCACTGTCACTGCTAATGCTCAGCTGCCTGTTAAAATATCTTTGGCTGGAAAAAAAACACAACCACAAAGTCCGCCAGTATTGATGTTATGTGTAAAAACTAGGAGCAACATATCTGTTATCAGCTGTTATTTCACCCGTTAAACAATCAATGTTAGCTGGTGCGGTTGATCCATAACACACTAGCAGCTCTACGACTGTCTGTTAAGCTTCACGTTTATCCAAAAAAGGCATGTGTGTAGTAAAAAGATTCAAAATGTCTAGATTAGGTTTTGGATTCGTAAATCATTTC